ACTTTGTTAGGAGAATTATGTCAAGTAAAATGATATGAAAATACCATCGCCAGAGATGTCTCTTTTTTTGTCTGCTAGGCTGTTTGATCTGCTTACTGGCGTTGTTGAACAAATTGTTAAGAATATAGGCAACTTTAATATAACGGACAACTGGAGAACAAAAATTATTGTTCGTTGTAATGAGGTGTCCGTTTTTTGAGGTGGCTTCTCCATGTTTCGAATGCTGAAAAAAATTATTTGCAAACTTATCTCTCACTGTTTAAAGGTATTCATTCACAGGCCCGTCAGTAAGAAACCGTAAAGAGGGAATTTTTCCTTGTTTGAAGATAATTTCAAAACGGTTTGACTGATCGTAAAAACATTTTTTCTCTTGATGATTTATCTCCTTTCTGGAGAATTCATTAAAAATAAATCCTGCTATAGTGCTGACCAAATATACTTTTAATGCTGATATGACAACGAACTGAATAGTAAGCTTCAAGAACTAATTAGCTTCATGCAGTGCAGTGCACAACTTAAAAGTGCAGTCGAGCAAAGTGCAGACAGGAAGGAGAGTTTCTCTTTTTAATGCGAGGCAACTCTTACATAAAACTAATAAACAAGTCATGAAATTCAGGTATAGGTTAATTTTTAAGATCTGAAAACACAATTTTGTAAGAAAGTTAGATTAATTGAATAATTATATTTCAATACTTTAATTATACTAGTTTAACAATACCAAATCTAGTTCTACACCCTCTCTTCATCTTAAAGAAATTTGCCAAAACTCGAAAAATCTAAATGCAATATAGAATTCGTTGCAGTTTGTGGTTGTTGATAAAATTCTTGTGCTTGCAGTAGCTGTGTGTGGCTCATCTCTTAGAGGCGATGCTGGAGTTGGCTTCGTTTGTTCTAGATTTGTGCCATTTTAAGATGTGTAATTTTAATTGTATTCAGTGGCATAATGAACTATAATGTTGATTCAAAACTGCTTATCTTGGTAAAGAGACTTTCGTCATACATCTGACCTGCCTCTAGTGTAGGCATAAAACATGTATGACATGCTGTTATCAACGCAAACAGTTTGTAGACTTCAGAGGCTTTTCATTTAGCTTCGAAGAAGAAGTTCTTTTTGTTTATTGCTGTAAAGTGTCATAACAGCGATCTATGCATCGATGCCGACAAAGATTGATGAAAACGTGATGGCAATTTGGATAACAGCTTTGTGTCAAAAGCTCTAGCAAAAATGAGCTGGCTGGAGTTTTTGGCAAATAGTGTAGATGATAATTAACATACTTAAATCCCAACTTTTGGTTTGATATCTGAATCTTCTTTAAAAGAACATTTGCGATGAAGATTATGAGTGATATAAAAGTACCATAGTTTAGTCTTGTTTATAATTAAATAAGAAGTTCCAATCTTTTCTGTTAAGAGACCAAAGGCGGTTTTTGGTTGAATCTCCGTCATACCTAGCTCAACACAATATTTTGACAAATCAAAAGAATGTCCGATTCCTTGAAAAATATAAGCTAATGGTTTTTTGAAAAAATTATGCCACTATGTTAGTAGTTCTTTTAAATGCAACAACATTAGCATGCAAGAATTATTTAAAAAACCAACCATACGATGACCCAACCGTGATGCTTTCTGTTGCTCTGTTGTTTTGATTTGATTACCATCAAATGAATGCAAAAGAAGCACACTTGTTATTCATTATGCAGACATTCTAACAAATAAGACATACAGCATTGTATTTTTCTAGAGAATAAGGTATACATTTTAGCAATAAATAGCATTGGACAGGTATCATTTACAGGTTAAGAGATAATTTCTTATTGAAGATGAAAAGACACGCCTTAATCTTTACACGATTTCTGTTTTGGCTGCAATTAAGTTTACTTCTATTCCAATATTCGACATGGCACTGTCGGCCAAATGTAAGTAAAGTGGCTCAAGAAAAACTTGATCTATGCCCTCAGTAACTCTAATGTGAAGAATACATTTTTATATATTATTGATATAGAAGATAAAGATATAAATTTGAATTAATATTTTGAAAATACAGAATATTCTTCAGTTTTCCTTAAACGATAGACTTCTCAGTTAGGTCTCTGAAACCACTTATATGATACATAGAATTAGCAACTAATTCTCTTAATCAAACTATAAAAGTTTGCAAAAAAGCACTTTTTGTATAAGTTTGCAAAAAGTTTTTGTTAGGGAAAGTATCGAAATTGTAATTTGACCCAAGCATTTCATTGCTCCTCCAATGCAACTGAGCAGTATTCCTAAATCAACGTTATGAAATCCAGGTTGCGAGACCAAAGCACAAAAAACAAAAAAAAAGGTGGCGGCTAGCCGAACTATCAATAGTGCCAATTGTCATTTGGACGGTTGAAAGATTAAGGACTTCTACTTCTACTTCTAAACAACTTATTAATTCCCATGTTTTCCTGGGTTTTGTTACACTTAGGCCAAAATGGTGGCAAGAAACTTTGAAAAATAGGTGCTATCAAAATTTAAAAGAAAGTGCAGTACCATAAAACTGAACATTTGCCAAAATGGAAAAGCAGATATTCAAAATCTTTTAAAATCATCAACAACCCGAAATATGACTTTTAGTTCTTGAGCATCACACTTTCTAACCAGGAATATTTGAATGAAGTATAGAATCGTTCTATACTTTTATGCCGAAAGTGTCATATTTGAAAGAATTGAAAAACTTTACTAGAATAGGCCTAAAGAGATTTTCCTAATGTGTTGACCATCGTGTTACCTTTCGAGAACAGAATTGCTTAGAATTACTTTTCGATAGATTTATAGCATACAATTTAACATGCCTTTCAAAGTTTGATATGGTAGACAAAAATCTTTTATCTTTGTCATCTAAAAAGCATTAAAATCTTTTATAACATTGTCATAGTTCAGCTGAGCTCGAATGATTACACAAACGTAGCAACAGACAAGAAGGACGTTGTGTGTTTATATTTTCTTTTCTGTGTGACATTTTGATGAAGAATTCTCTAAAACTAGTTTAAACAAAGCAGCTCCAAAATGAGGAGCCTGAACAAGCAAGTCGTCTTAAAGAACTCTAAAGCTAGTGAATTCATGAATTGCTTTAGTATGACAATCAGATAATCATGGCCAGTTGTGATTCATATCAGGTCATTTTCGTAAATTCTTTCAAAGGCCAGTGTCATTTTCTATCTACGAGCGTTGAACAGCTTTCAATACTTAAGCTTGTAATCTGCCTTTCCAGGCCATTCCCACGACCTATAGAAGGAATTTCTCTTATATTTTTTCAGTGAATTTTCCTTCTCCTTCTATGCGTTCAACTTGACAATCTAAAAAGCGGTTGAATCCTTGCGACAAATAAAATCATGTTATTAGTTTAAAGCATTTCGTCTCACTGTCACTGAAACATCAACAAGCTAGCTGCCCTTGAAACGTACATACATAAAAGTCTTCACTTAAATAGTGGGACTATATACTGCGTTACTCTTTTAAATTCTTTTTCCATACCTAATTGAACAAATTTGTACTGTGCTACCAATTCATTTTTCATTTTGTCTTAGTAAACTAAAAGAGTCATTATCAGCTGCAGCAAACTAAGAGCTTTTTCCCCGACGGGTTTAATTTCAGCTGATATGATTTCTGATCATGAATTTATAGATTCTCAAAAGTAGTTGTATCTTTTAAATATGTAGTCTAAACCCCTTTCCTTTTATTTTGTTTGATCTCTGGTTTTCATCTTCAGCGAGTCTGACTTCTGCCGTAATATATATTTTTCCAAAAGGAAATATACTTGAATAGTGTTAACTATGTTAAGATGGAACTTCTAACTAAACAAAACCATTTTCTTTTTATATCTATGCGTAGCAAAATCTTGCCAACTTTTTTTCCCTATGTAAAATTTTGCAATTGCTTATCTGTTTACTTTTTAAATACGAAAAATGTTTAGGCTGGTCTGGATAAGGGTTGTTTTGAACATCATCATAGGCTAGCATCGGTCAACGCTTGCATGTAAATCCGTGGTTCTCTTGATTATTTTCTATTTCTTTTAGCAAGTTTAGAGTGCTTTATGTTAAAATAGCTACTGTTTCATTTTCAAATCATTTTTAAACAGCAGGCATGTAAGCACGCTGATAATGCTATTCTAAGCATTATGCGCTAGACAATATGCCTGGAATGTAGGCCTATCTTTATCATTTGCTCATCGAACGCCAGTTGCTCATTGAGCTTATCAACAAAGTTATCAGGTAGTCCACAAGCAAACAACTTTTTATCCAGAGCTTAACATTTTTCTTTAAATCACAAGCAATATCAATTTACCCGCAAATATCATAATTATTATGTTATAGTTATAAATTTAAAAGTTTCCAATCAAAATATGACTTAAAAAATGTCTCGAGCATTCTTTTGATGTTCTAAGTCTGTGCATTTAACCTATGATTATTCGGATGAGTTAATGTTTCGATTTATCATCTAAAAGAATGAATAGAACGGGTAGATTTGCCGGGTTGATTGCAGATCTGTCACACTAAACAATGTAGAAAGACAGGCGTGACATAAAGTTTGAATAGATCATCCTGTTACGCCGAGATTTACCCGATCTGATAACAACCATCTTTTAATTTACTCGATTTCTGTTTTAAACGATTCATCTAGGTTTGTTTTTTGAAAAAATCTAGTTAAGCGGCTTTTCTTTAACTAGAATATTCTGCTTAAAGAGAAGCGCGCATTGGCAAGCCGATGATAATATACGTTGTAATTTGGCTAGAAAATAGAGCTTACACCAGCTAATACGGAGAAAAAGTATGAAGAATTTGTAGTCAATTATATCTGGATTTGTATCATGTGAAATCAAGGCTATCTTGAAAATCATCTTAGGTCAATTGTTACATTGTGTTTGTGGATTAACGGACTCTTTTCGTTGGCTGGTCGATGTATACGTTTACGCTCAGAGAAACGAGAACAATGTATTTGCATTAACGATCAAATGACATTCTCTTGAGGAGCAGATGGTGCAAGCTACGACGTGATCAAGACTCAAGATTGATTGCTCCTCATCGTGTCAGAAATTTAATTGGTATGAGCCAGTTAGTACTTATTTAATTTACTTGAATTTAGCAGAGAAGATAACTTGGGCTTTTTACTAGAGAACGTGCTGTTTGTAAGTATCTTTTGCTAGCAAGATCGAATATTCTGAATGAAAATATGAGCAAAGACAAAGCAAAAGTGAAAACTAAGAGCACACAGTGAAATAAGAATGAAATATCTGACTGCTTGAATTATGATAAGTGCCAAATTTGAGTTGTTATTTTCTAATGGCAAGTCTCAATATTGCATATAATCCACATATTTTAGAACCATTTTTCTTTTACTTGCATCACTCTTTTTTTCTACCAACGTACTATTATAAATATGAATTTCAATTAAGAGATGTTCATCAATGCAACTCCAGTTTTCCCATTGAAAAAGCACCATCTAGACATGTGTCGTGAATAGTTTTGTGTGAAACGCGTCTAACCGACGGCGAGATTATATCAGGGTCTCACCAAACTTCCAACAAACATTTATCATTCATTTCCAAATCCTTAGTTTTATGCACAATTTGACGATATGAAGCGTAGACATTCTGCCCTTGACAACAGTTTTTTTCATTTAATCCTTTTTATCTTGCCTCGACATTCTTCTCTCCAAAAACCAGATAATATATTACGAAATTTTTGGAATATGTCTGCACTGGTTTTTTTAGAACTTCAGTTAGTCCTTGGCAATGACTCTTGTCGCATACATATAAAGTAAATTACATAGTTGAATAGTCTACCATTCTTGATTATGCTGATTCGACGTTAGTTTTCTAATGTTTCAGCTTCATTTAGTCAATGACTGACATGGAAAGCGTCGAAGCATAGTTTCAAAAAAAACATCTTTGAAGTGACCACTCAAATTATTGACATAGATATGTACATCAAGTAATATAGCTATTTACAAAGAGTTTCCGTCAGAGGAGCTGGTAGATGCATCCCTAAAAAGTGGTGCTAGATAAAATTCTCTAAAGACTTCTCTTGCTGCACTTGACCTACTTATTCAGATGATTTCGAATCCCTAGATATTTCCTCCTTATCCTTTACTTGAAATTGTCAAAATACTTGTCAGCCTAGAGTGATTGCTCCACTAAAAACAACAGTTCCCGGTGTCAGCTTTTCAGCTCTAAAAAGAGAAGGAAGCTTTATCTTCTCACGGTTGCCTTTGAATGTAATGAAATCTCTTTTTGTGGAAGTATTCTCAGTTTTGATTGAAATGTTAATCTTTCACACTAACAATCTTCTTATCACAATTTATACTGGTCATCATGAAAAAGAATCGGCAGATACTTGCTTTAGCTGCACTGAAAGAATTGTTTTAAAAACAGTAAAGACGATTTATATATCGTTTTTATGACTATCGTTTCAAATGTCTTTTCTTAAGACGCTCAAAAATGGAATTGAATGTATCAGTTTTTGGTGTGTTTCACAAAGAATATAAGCAGCTTCTCGTTTCTTTGAATAAATTTTTGCTTTCTTTTAAAAACAAATGCAACGATGGAGGAACCTAAAAATCAAGAAAAAAATTACGAATGTTTTAAAACCTTTTTTAGATTTATTATCTTTAAGCAAGCGAGAGGATTTTGGACAAATGTATTACAGAGGCTTACCTTCTGTATTCTCAATTAGCACAGTTATAACAAACTGGCGTCAAATCAAAATGGATCTTATCATATTATCAACCGTCTTCTTGAGGGTAGAAAATATAGCAAATTGGAAACTCGACTTTCATCTTTCATCTTCCATTGATCTTAATTAAATATGACACTCTACTCAGAGTTAGTGACAAACCTTTCTTTTCATGAGCTTAGATGCCGTTAGACTAGATGGAAGCTCTTGATTTGATCAAATTTGCTTCAATTCCCTTACATTGTCATTCGATATTTTATCTATTTGTTAGTTTGAGTTTGATATGATATTTATATCTTTAGAATAAAAAAATGTGAAATTGCACTCTTTGATTTTCTTCTATGTCTATTTTCCCCGCTGCCATTGTTTAAAATATAGCTGCTGCCTTTGCAATGGCTGCAACATTCTTTTTTCTTGATAATGCTATTAGCAGTGGGTGGAATGAGTTTAATAAACATTAATTCCTATTTCCTTTGCACGTACTGTGCGCTTTAATGATACACCTACGTTTGTTAAGACAGTATTCAAGGTCACAAAGGCAGCTCTGCCTCTCTTTTAGGGTCATTTCATCTCTATCCATGTCACAAATGTTCCTATCAGCTCATAATACGTTGCTAAACCTCCTGCCACCTACAGTTTTGCCCTTGATTGAAGAAAAGATAGCATGACAGTGAAGATCTTTCTATTTGATAAGAAAATGATTTTATTTTTGGCTCTCTTTCAAAAGAGTTTACAGGTTTATTAACTCAACGAAGTTAAAATGAGCACAACGTAGTTTGAAATCGTAGAAAGCGTTTTGAATAAATTGCAATATATTTATTTTGTTTTTTTTCTACAGCAACCAAAATAAAACGTCTACTTTTAGGTCACAAAAACATATTTTTCAACAGTCTTTTAACTATTTGAATCAATATAGTTTTCATCTCATTACAGTCATGGAAGTACGATATCACCAAATCAAGTTTCTTGGAAATTTGATCATCAATAACATCTTTTCCAGTCGTCGGCTCATTGCAAATTATAATAGCACTGGACTACTGCCTTCACTGAAATTCGTACCATAATAGAATCTTCATTCACAGCTGCAATGTCTTTCTGTATCGTTTTGTTTACCAGATTACAAGAGTTCACTTTATAAGAATTACGATTTCGAACAACAATCAGATCAAAAAACAGGTGTGCTTCTAGCAATATTTCTTAATCTGAGTGATTTAAATGATAATAATGATATAATCAGTTCATAAAATACAATAATTTTCCTTTGCAAAGATTGGTAACGCCTTCCATAAGCTCATTGGAGACTTATTGTTCCCACATATGATTGAAAAGGCCCAAATCAACGATTTTATTCTTTTTAACCTGCTCCCAAAGTGATGATATATTGAAGAAATAAGGTTGTAAAAAAATTGATGAGAAATTCCAATTATTTTTCAAATTGAAAAAAATCATAGCGCAAATAGAACAAAAATCGTTTGAAAAAGATGCTGAAATCGAAGTTTGTTATACAGTAAATATATCAAAGGATGAAACATTTTGCTAAAACAAATATACCGCTACAAGATGCATAGGACGTGTTACAGATTGTGAACTAGTAGAAAGTAATGATATCATGAAATCGATTTCTAGGATTGTTCGCCTTTCAAAAAACGTTGGAATTAGTCACTCGTCTTTAAAAATATTTAAACTTGCGAACAACTGACTGAGATTTAGTCAATCAAGGATAGGCTCGTTCCGTTAAATATTACTGCAAACCAATTTGGGTTCGAATATTTGTGAACCAGGCCAAAACAACCGTAACTTGAGAGGCAGCATCAGGTCATTGACTTGTCAGAGCTCAGTCACTTCGTTAGAGCTTTAGCTGACCTACCTATGTAGGAATTTTTTGGCGTTTTTTCACCCTTAGATCTAGATTCAAAACTTCTAAACATATTCTAATGGCGTCATCACTTTTTTACGTTATTTTACCATCAAGACACTTTCCTTACCATTAACATGGATGTGTTCAAATAATGAGTTTACTTTTTTTGAATTCATACAGTTTTATACTTGATTTTTTTGACTGAGACCTTTACTGCCTAACGACTAAATTTCAAAACGTCACCCAAGGAAAGAAACCAAACGATATTGTGTCAGGATGGACATCGTTTTAGGCTAAAAAAGGACTAAATATTCCTTTTTCATGACCTACCTATCTTTAAACATATATATTCTTTGAGTTTGCGCAACACACTTAATTTGAATCTCAAACCGCCGACTGTCTGAGTACAGAATACTACCGACTTCAAGGTTAAGCTGCCATTTGGGCTGCTATACACTTGCGGTAAAGCTGTATGCTTTATGATATTACAATGTTGTGTAATTTATCAGAGTATGTGTTTGCTCCCCTTTTTTCATTTTAAATTTTAAAACAAGATGATGTATATTTGATAAAGGATTTTGCCCCATTTTTAGGCCACGAAGCTTCGAGCTGATACGAGATGCAATCGTATCACCATCACCACCACCACCATCATCATCATCGACCTCCAGTTCCGTCTCTTCCCTTTTCCCCTTGTCAAATCGCAAGAGTTTGCGAAACATTGGAAGAATGTGGAGATATCGAGCGACTTTCAAGGTTTCTATGGTCCCTACCGACTTCTCCGGACGTGTATGACTTGCTGAACAGTAATGAGTGTGTATTGCGAGCACGAGCACTGGTCGCGTTTCATACTGGGCATTATCACGAACTATATTACATCTTAGAGAACTATAAGTTTAGTAAAGAATCTCACGTTAAACTTCAGACCATGTGGCTAGAGGCACATTATAGCGAAGCAGAAAGGTTACGAGGGCGACCATTGGGACCGGTCGATAAATACCGCGTCCGGAAGCGTTTTCCTCTACCAAGAACAATTTGGGACGGAGAGCAAAAAACTCATTGTTTTAAAGAGAGAACGAGAAAACTGTTACGAGAATTCTACTTATCAGACCCATATCCAAGCCCTACGAAGAAAAGGGAGCTGGCTGATGCTACGGGCTTAACAGCAACGCAAGTTGGGAACTGGTTCAAAAATAGAAGACAAAGAGATAGAGCGGCTGCGGCCAAGCATAAGTAAGTAGTAACATAATCACAAAGGTGCTTTTAAGAAAAATTGCAACACATTTTGAATGAACAAGTTCACCTTTCTTTTCTCTAAGTTTTAAATTCTAAGGTTTTCTGAAGTCTGGTCCAATAGGTTTTATCAGAAGTATTACAAAATACCCCAGTCTTCTTCGTACGTTTAAGTTTCAACTGGGTAGACATAATAATGAAACTAAAAGATAGGCTCCCATGTTGGTCTCATGCCACATATTGACCTTATTAGGATATTGGTCTTGAATTTAGGCCTCACAAAAAGTTTTGGAAATAAAACAAGCAAGATAATGGAAGAGAAGAGAACAAAGAGCCATTTAAGTTAGATTTTTGTTTGATGATTTCATCAAAGTCCATCGTAATAATTGATTTCTTTTAAATAAAAGTTATTCTTGCAAGCTTTTAGAGTGAAGAACAACGGGTCTGGATTTTGTGAAATCATCTGTATTGGCAATAAAGAAAATAAAATTGACGTGTAAAGAGTGACCGATTCACCTTCAAGGATAAAGTCCTTTCTGGATTGCTTAAAAGAGATGAAGATTTTTCTATTCACTTCCAACTAGTCTTTGAGGTGTTGACGTGCTTTTGGTCCAAAACCTATATCATTGTTGTAGTTTAAAAGACATGGGTGAAATTTTTCCCGATTTATGGATGCAAAACTAAGTAGATTTTTGTCTATTTTACCATATCAAGTGGGATAATCTAAAATAAAAAACGATTCTTCCCCTTAATCTTACTTGTTACAGAATATAGGAGCAGTTGATTCAATCATCTGTCGTACTATCACGTGAATTGATTTAAAACATATCAAGTTTCCATCATACATTCATAATTTAGATCGGTAAACTCTCATACTGCTTATCCATACACTCTAATCAAGCAATAGAAGTTGTTCAAGCAACCAAATTTACAGAGGTCATCTTTACCACAGAGTCGTGCATCTTCTGACGATGGTTAATAGAATAACCAAACTTCGTGTAGCAAGGGATTACAGATCATATTCTATCCTTGATTACGGTTTACCTGAGTAAGCTACTTATCCTTTGGAGCTATAAAACTTCATGAGAAATCACTAAATTAAGCTGTGATTCTTTCTAATCCTTGTTTGATAGTTTAAAAGTAGGTCAAGCAGCTTCTTCTTTGTCAGTCTCAATTTTCTGGTTGAGAGCAATTCCACTAAAGACTGCTTACCAGACCAAACATCGACCTATATGCCTGTCACAATTAGCAGCTATAATCAATACGTATTACCGTTTCTGATGACCAAAATCTTGCTTCGAAAGCTTTTAAAGGATGTTTAAATATCGTAAACAATTTATATAAGAACATCAAATGAAACCAAACATCTAAACCATAATGAAATTTGTGCTTTACTTTTCATTTTGGCAAGCTTTAGGAGTTTCTTGCTTGAATGAAATTCCGATATGGTATCCCATTTTGTAGCCTAATTCATCCTAAAAAAGCTAAAACTGCTGGTTTGTTACTGTCAACTCTTTCAAATATTACCAATGCATCAAAAACAACATTAAAGGCATATAAAAATTAGCTGATGGTCAAAGGAGTTATCTTTCAAAAGGTAGTCGGTTAACGTAAATTAATTTTTTGAATGTTCTCAAGATTATAACATGTTTTAGAAGGCTTACTCAAGCAAAATTGAATAGCATCAAAAATAGGTTATAAGCTTCACAGAATATGGAGCTGCCTTTTAGTTGGCGCGATGCTGTTCACATTGCAAGAATTGCGACGATGCTGTTGTGTTTTGTGAAAGGATGCAGATTTCAGCTTTGAATACCTTAATACTTTCTGTGCATTAAGTTATTTTTCCATCTAGATTTTAAGACTAAAACAAAGCTGCATAAACTTTTATCAGTAATCTGCAAAGAAAACTTCTGATCAAAATAACTTTTCTACGTCTTAATTGAACTCAGTTTTATTTTATCTCAAGTATCAACAGTCCTGCCCCGTAGAATTGAATTAGTGCTCTTCTTTAGAAAATCTGGCTAGGTCAGAAACCTGCAGGTGTTATGGTTCCATGGTTATATCAGTTAGTTGAGCAAATTACCTCAAACGAACAAATCTAGGCGATAACATTCTTGGCAAACCAAAACGGTTATTGTACGAATTTTAGTCACTACAACTGGGAGTGATCTAGCAGCATCGCAGCTTGCAAAAAATCTTCGTTTTTTATTTTGGAAAGATTTAAGACTATATTAATGAAGGTTCTAAATCAGCTGCAAAGAGAGCACTTCTTCTCTCATCTCAATAGCAACTGTCTAATCGAGATCTAGTCACCTTGGTATTTGCCAACATTTTACTACAGGGTGGGCAAAAGAGGATCAATATCATGATAATTGGTTTACAAACAATCATTTAGCAAGTGTTTTGTCACCGGCATGATAATGCAAATGTTTTCTGTAGAGTGTTCTTAGAGATATCTTAAAGCCAGGATTCTAGGCTACTTGTTGATTCGATAAACATCTGAATGTATCCACTATATGCTTTTGCTGCTTCGAAAATATTTTCAGCTGTCTATGAGCACTGTGTGTATTTATTTCATGTACAAACATTCTAATGGGAGGAGAGAACAGCATGATATTGAGTTCTGCTTATCGTTTCTGCCAGGCTTGATCTACTTATCAAGTTTATGCAGTACATTGTTAGATCTAAAGGCCCTTAAGATATAACGCGTAATCATTGGCAATCTTTGTCATAATAAACAGTATTTAGTTACCTGGAATGTATTTTCTTTTAAATTTCAGTTATCAACCACCGCTTTTCTTCTGCAGGAGTAATAAGCAGTCAGAGCTTGACAGAAAATCGCCTTCAGAATTCAGCGACCACGTTGACATGTCGAAAGATCTTGAAGAAGATTCTCCGATATCAAGATCAACAATGAACTGTTCTCCTGAATTCGATGTATGTAGATCAAAAGAAAGGTTGCCTCACTTTATTTATGGTAGCAGTGTCAGGCAAAATGTTAACTAAAGACTTCTGTTAACGAGAATGTAACATAAACAGACATTGTAATATTCGTGCCATCACAACAGAGTTTAAACAAAGAGGAATTTACAATTGAGAGCTTTCATTCCAGTGTTGCAATAGGATTGCAATAAAAAATTAGGTTTGCAGGTATAAGAAAAATGTTCAACTACATGCTCAGTTGTAACCTTATTCTTTTTTCATTATCTTCTACATAGTTAGAAAAACGTATATGGTTTAAGAATTTGCATATACCAAGTTTGTTGCTTAAAATGCTATCGGCTATTAGTTGTTAGCAATGTTACTAGTTTGTTGCAATGGATTCCGCCGCAAGCTTCTATAGATTTAAAAGAATGTAAGCTACTAATAACCGTGATACCTAATGAATCAAGCTATCAAGCTATGCTGATGATTAAATGTTCAGATGATTAGAGATCGAGAAGTTCAGCCACAGCTCTTAATGTAAATGCTTTTGAAAAACCCGTAGCGATGAAAAGCATTTTCCCATGATTCATTGATGCAAATAATATATTGTTAAATATCGACAAACGTCAACCAAAGCTGAAAATCGTCTCCAAGCCAGGCTTGGTTGGTTTCTGTGAAATAAGACATATTCTGTAACTAATGCGTTCTGTCCTTTTCTGTTAGGTTGAAAGATACCGTAAATTAAATAAGAGTTGCTAATGTATTTAGGAATGGTTTTAAGATTGTAAAAAGTCTTTATTGATACCTTAGTCGTAAATTTTGTAGATATAGAAGAAGAGTGAACGAAAGAAACATATTCATTTTGCTCTTTTCTCTTCTTCTCGATTCTTAGGTCTTCCTTATTGTCGTTATCATTGATGGTTTTTTCTACAAAAATTAGGGTGATGCGAATTTGATTCTTGAACTTTTAATACATATTGGCTGGATATATCATAATTTTGGTTTTTGCTAAAAATTTTAACAAAAATAAAGAAAGACATCTGCTTACCTTGAGAAGAAACTTAGAGTCAAATCATATTTTTTGACCATTGGCAAAAAATTTCACCTAATGATACAGAGGTTTTGTCTTTTTAAAAAGATCTTTTGTCTTCTCTTCTTGTGTCTTCTTAAAAAGTTTGCAGCCCAAATAAAAAACTTAAAAATGACAAGAAACTGCCATTTTTGACATAGAAAATAATGTCTCTTGCGAACCACAGAAAATTATTTATGTTCTGATTGTTCACTGACTTGAATCACAAGCAATGATGCTGTTGATGATACAAAACCGAAATGATACTTTTTAAAGTGAGAGAATTGATAAAATGACCAAAGAAATAATGGATGTACCCAAAGTTGACAAATATCAAGATTTCTATTCCATTACCAAGACTATCCATTATAAATTGTCTAAGAAAACAAGAACACAAAACACATTATCTGGCATAAATTAAAGAGTTTTAGTGTTAGAATCACCATTGGGTTTAAGATTTATAATTCCTTTCTAAATTCAGTTTAATCCACCAGCATCTTTAACTGTATGTAGTTCAATAACCTTCAGAGGAACGGATGCATGTTTTCTTTTTACCTATACTTAAAATGACCAGTGCAATTTTTTTGCGTTTTCGTCAAGCAGAATACAGCTATTTTATGCTCTAGATGAAAATATTTCGCTAGTCATAGCCTGTCGAGACATTACTAGCAGTATTACTAGCTATCTTTTATCTTTCAATTATTTGCTATTTTCCCAGTTGTGGATCGAGATAGCCCAGTCAGAAAAACGCAAGTACATGACCGGCATGGTTGTCCAGTCATTTTTTATTTTCCTGTAAAAGCAAACATTTGCACTCAAGGTTTGAATCTCATTTCAACCAGTTTCGCTTTGAAAATCCATATGCTCAACATCATTTTTAATAATACTCATTTTATATCATCTAAACAAGTGCTTGAAATTTATTTTGAAAGTTTTGCAAATTAAAAAGCAACTTTCAAATTCTAAAGGGCCTAATATTGGTATCAGAATTCAAATTTTTTTCTCAGATATGGTAGCTTCAGAATACAGATACATCTCTGACAAAAATCCTTCAGCGAAGATAATTACCAACCTTGAGTATAAACCTGTCAATAGTCTTGAGAAAATCTCACATAAATTGATGTAAAGGTATATATTTTAAAATAACCCCAAAACAAAGTTAAGGAATTTGAGAAAAATGACAAACTGTTTTCTTATTTTGTACTGAGTAACCCCAAAAAAGTCATGATGCAAGATTTTTGCAATGGAGTTAATATTATAAGTCTAACCAAATCTAGCTAGCTTATAAATTCACACATTGCTCCATTGATGGAGATCCTTTTGTGGTTAAAAAATGATTTTAAGAGTATGATACAAAAAAGACAATGCTGTATTTTCACGCCCTTAGCAGGATATTGTCAAGAATGATAACATATTACAAACAAGCTAAGCACGATACAGTCGACAAAGAAAAGAGGAATTCAGCCATAGCTGTAAAGAAAATAGAAGATTTGTTGACATTTTTCTAATTGAATATTGTTGATAACAATTTAAAAGAATGAAGTAATTTCTTAGCACTAGATAAAAAAGATAACCAGGGCCATTGTTTCGTTAAAATCAAGAAACGCCCTAGACTCTTTGCTATAAGCTATAATTTTCGACCTGTGTTCAAAGCATCAGAAAAGAAACAAATTTTGAAAGAGGATGGTGTCAAATTCTGTGGCCTTTGTTTTGCTGCATAAACATTTTAAAGTGTGGTAAATTAACAGGATTATTTTACTGAGACAATTAAAGATTTACACAACTTGCCCTGTTGGCAATACTAGTCATCTGATTCATTGAAATGAGAGATACTTTGAATGTTTGCAACATGAACGAAAATGAACAAAATAAATCATCACATCTCAAAATAAATTATATTGAATGTTATACATTGTCAATAACTACAGTTATGTTAGAGTGGTCTGGAAGCATTGGAATTAATTTACTACTTGGTTATTACTTAAATGTGATTGTTTGTTTTTTTAAGAAGTTTTGATGTTTAAAAGAAAGAGATGCTTGAAAATACTAAAAAATTAATTTATATGAAAACGAGTTTAAAACAGTAAAATGACATGGCTGGAAGTAAGAATATATGAAACGAATAGCTTTTTTATATTTGCCCTAGTTATAAAAACTCAGATTAATCTTCGATTAAACCTTTTTTGGTAGCTTAATATTTTAGGCTCTTAAGTAAACATAAGTATAAGCAAAAATGAATGCTTTCTGCTGTTGAATGATCACTTGCAAATCAGGCTAAAGTCAGTTTTGTAACTGGTGACTGGATTTTTTTTTCATTTTCCTGTAAAACCGTTCATTAAAATCACAGCAATCAATTCGATATGTTTCTTCTAATTCGGTAAAGGTTTGCTCTGAACATCTCAGTCAGTGTATAACGGGTCGGTTAAACAAATAAATTTGTTTGCATTCAAAGAAAATGCGTTGCGCAAACCATTAAGGTGCTTAAAGAAGTGTCCGTGAAAACAAGTAGGTAAGTGTATAATCAGGGTAAATTGTTTCCATATTTTTTATGATTAATGATTTGACAAATCCTAATTATTGCTACAACTTCCAACTAAGATGAATTTTCGGGGACGATGTTGTATATGTGAAGCCTTGGAATTTTTCTTTCTCTTTACTTTGAAGAATTGTTAAGCTCTGTTGTTGTTTATTCTAATTGGATTTGGATCCATTGGGCCGTATGGCTTGGCTTTCTCCGTATGTGCTATACAGACTAGGAGAGACGTTGAAAAAATTGATCGCTTAAGCTGAAAACAGAATTTAGATCAAATGAAAACATCAATGTAGAAAATCTCAAATCCATCAATTCTGAAAACTATTACAACAAGTACATTTGACGTTGAACTGTTCTTCTAGATTTATGTAAGGGCATAAAAACGTTTTGAAAATTTAGGAGGACTGCCACTTTTACCCCTTGGTCTGGAACTTCTTCAGAATGTCTCAAAAGAGCAAGAGATGTTTGGAAATAATCAAAGTTATGTTCCTGGTGTGTGCTCCCCTCAAATGTTAACCTTCTTTCTAGATGCAAGAAGGTTTGTTTCGTGTATGCTAGATTCAAAATGTTTCAAGATGTTCTTTAGAAGTAACTTCTAGACGACTGAATCTGTTAGATCTCAACGTAAGAGGAGATATTCCACATCTACACTGAAGCGAATCAACGTCAGAAACGGGATGGATATTGTACAATGTCTTTGCAACTGAGGCCCATCCCAATGTCTGATCGAGGTTTCTGCACAATCATCGCCAAACGTACGGATTGGTGCGATTTTATCTTATCTCCTCCAAGATACTAAAATCACTTATCTGTTGCATTCTTAAGAGGAGCAGTGTCACGACACGTTGTTATGACGTCGAAATAAGAAGATTTGATCTTTGGGAGACACTGCATGGCAGATCAGGGCTGTGCGGTAACAGTGCATGAGCCGGTGTAATCTTTTTCGAAGTTGTGGCGTTACAGCCTGGTTGATTTAAATAATACTTTTGTTGTGTGAGTCAGTCTTCCTAGCTGTCCTTTGCGCTGTCATGGCAGACAAGAGCTGGTCATGCAGAACTACCGATGGGTTTAAATTTCAAGAGAATAGTTGATAAAAATGTTAAAACGAATTTTTTCTCCCATATCTTTAGGACCAAGATGCTTTAGACCTTTTTAAAGTTGACTGTTTGATAACGAACATCAATTAACCAACAAAGGTGTTATTTTGAGAAAATTTTATTACTACAAAACTACTTTTAAAAATTCAAAAAATGAAACCGAGGCTCTTTAAAGATGAGTCTTTTGTAGGAGATGTAGCGTTTTTGAAATCTTGTAGCTTTTGACAATAAAAGGCAATGTTTTTATTTGCTTGCTTAGCTTTTCATATAATTAGGATTTATGATGTGTTTGTTCGCTTTCTTAATTCCTTTTGTACTTTAAATTCTTGATGATTGTGTTACATCTGATTTATCACTGCGCATTTTTTCTTTTCTCATTGCA